ATAAAAAAATAATGGTATTTAAGATAATTGCAAAAAAAACTAATTTTAAAATGTTTTAACATCTTGTAACTCTAAAACTATGCATTTTCATACCCATGTTTATAGGAACTTTTTTTCATATTTTTTGATGAGGAATCAATGAGCACTTATTTAAAACTTTCACGAGTTAATGATATTAATTTTTTTTAAAGGTTTTGCCTTGATCCAATATTTGGATCAAGGCAAATTAATAAAATTCCGTTTATCTCATCAAAGAGGCCGAAATCAACAAAATATCAAGAGGCAACTGTTAATCGGCATTAAAGTGTTTACACTATTTCGCTAACAAGAGAAAAAATGTCAGTGGCGTACATGCGTTTTTCAGAAAAATATTCCAGTGATAACCATAATTTAGCTTTAAAATATGTTGCATTTATAGTAACTTTTACCCTCAAAATTTCATTCGAAACGCTAAAAGTACTTGGAAGAAAAGTAGGTATACTAAATCGAAAAAAGATTAAGACTTTAACACCCTGTAGCTACGAAAAAAAGCAGAATGGGACTTATGGTGATATGAAAAATAAATCTTATTTTTACGTGAGGAATCTCCCCACGAGAGATGGCACATGTTTTTTGAAACACCCTGTATACTACTATGAACTGTCTATCATGTTGGCATGACGTTTGGCAAATGCTTGGCATAACGGTAAAAGGTCGCGAAGCAGGACCAGCTTCATGAAATGAACTTCGCTTGGTACTTGGAGAAGAATGGGAAAACATAACGCAATATGATATATGCAGCCTCAATTACAGTATGAACGGACGCATACAGGCAGTTATAGCAGCCAAAGGCGGCAATACAAAGTATGAGGGTATTTTTTACAATTTTTTTTTCTGTTTGTATACTTCAATATTAGAGAAGTTTTCTTTAATATCGTTAGTTCTGTTATCGTTAGTAATGTTTATTAAAAGCTTAATTTATTAACTGTATCGTTAGTCTTTAACGTTTTTTTTTACTTTAGTATAGAGTACCCAAAGCAGTGTAATATTATAATGGTGTCTTAATATTATAATATGTATTAATATACAGGGTGGTCCGAACTGTATCCCGGAAACTTCGGCAGCATATTCTGCAGATAAAAATAAGTAAAAAAGTTCGTATAAATGTATGTCCTAAAATGCTTAGTTTCGGAGACACAGGGTGTAGAAATTTAATTTTTATTTGGATTTTTTCCAAATAATTTCTGAAGTAACGTAAATATTTGGATGAAAATTGGTGTCTGGGAGTTTTTTGACATGAGAAATTTGATTTTGATGTTAATATGACTCCTATTTGTAGAGGACGCCACCTACATCTGTTTTATCTGTTTTGAAGAGTAATAACTTTTCGTCCGTTCCTGTATAAAACTACTGAGTAAAAAAATATATATTTCCATGATTTTCTACATAATAATTAAATATCTCTTGGAAAAAATCGCTACGACAACCATTCTCAAGATATTAAGAATGGAAACAGTCAATACATGTCATTATTGACAAAAAATAATCGTATGTTGAGTAGATAGTTATTTGACTAAAAAGATAAATTTGGGAACTTCTTATTTTTTTTTAAATTAATCATAATTTTTTCTGCGAAAAAATGATGATAAAAGAAGTTCTGTTGAACTTTTGGCACAAAAACATTTCAAATTTATGATTTCAGTCTAATAACTATTTAGTCAACATGTTTATTTTATGTCAATGATGACAGGTATTGATAATTTCGATTCCAAATATTTCAAGAACCATTCCTCGTAGCGATTTTTTCCAAGAGACTTTTTTACGTAAAAAACATCGTAAATGTATATTCTTTTACTCAGTAGTTTTATACAGGTATGGACGAAAAATTATTCCTCTTTAAACCAGTTGAAAAATAATATGTATGTGGCGCCCTCTACAAGTAGGAGTCATATTGATATCAAAATAAAATTTCTCATGTCAAAAAGTTTCCAGACATCAATTTTCATCCAAATATTGACGTTACTTCAGAAATTATTTAGAAAAAATCGAAATAAAAACGAAACTTCAACACCCTGTATCTCCGAAACTAAGCATTTTAGGACATACATTTATACGAACTTTTTTACTTATTTTAATCTGCAGAATATGCTGCCAAAGTTTCCGGAATACAGTTCGGACCTCCCTGTATAATTGTGTCTTAATATAATATGATTAGTGATGGGAAAACCCGATTAATTTCAATAATCGAGTACTCGAGTTTCAAGCGATTGCAATAACCGAGTGATCGCACGAGCGAAATATCACTCGTATTTAAAAATACGATTTTTCACCCGTCGCTGGTTGTAAGTTGTAAGTACTCGTTAACGCCAAGCGCCAAGCAGTAAGTTGCGTGCGCAGAGCACATATTCTTTCGGCGAAGAATGGCAAGTAGCAAGCGGCGAGGGATTCGCTTGATCGCTTGATTTAGTTTATTTCAAAGCATTGTCGATGTAGGTCGTAAAATTTTGTCCCTCAGATACGCAACGCAAATATATATACGGCGCCGTATAAATTTGCTACCTGCAATGTATGTAGAAAATTTTATCTCGGCTTTTTATCGAGTATGTCATATTAAAATCGGATTTCAATTTATTTCATTCTAGGATCGTTTGCGTTCGTCGCTTGGAACTCGTCACTTGCATCGCTCGTTCATAATCGAGCGATGTCGGTTATTCCAATAATCGAGTAGTCGAGCGAATTTTCGCTCGAGTTATCCCATCACTAAATATGACGTTACAATATTATTCATATTAAAAATCAAAAAGTAATGATAATTAAAAAAATGCAAATTGATCATTATCAGCTTATTTCGCTCTTAAAAATTAACCAAAGCATGTATTGACATGAATCAAAAAAATGCTCAGGAGTCATGGTTCTGACCGTAAAATTATATTTTAGGAAAATTTACAGACGCGAAATTATTTCAAATGGTGTTTTAAAGTTATGGTAAAAAAGCAACCCCTCAATTAACCCTGTATAATATGCTAAATAGTAAAGTTTTTAAAAAGCTGAGTTTACGAATTAAAGTTGATATAATTATATACAGCTTGCTAAAAATATTGTGAAATTAGGGCTAAAAATAACAAAAATATAACAGATTAAATTTGACCAGAAATTTCTCCGTTACGTTTTTTTGCATCTGAGTGTACAGGGTGGTCTAAATTGGTCTGTTTTAACAGAGAAAACCTATTTTGTAACTAGACAGAGCTAAACCGACATAGATGTCATGGGCTCGATTTCTGAGAAACATTTAATGGCGTAAACAGCCTGTTGATATTTTTACTGCCAACCGAGATACGGGTCTTAATGTCTAATTTTTTACCATTTGGAAAATTGCCCTTAACTTTTGTATTTCGTGGAATAATAAAATTCTGTAAAAACGTTTTTGAGGCACTTTTTTAAGCACAATCCAGTGGCTTAGTCAGTTTTTTTCTATACTTGCTCTTTTTGTCAGAAATAATAAAAGATATAATAATTTAATATTATTTTAATAATTTATATTTTTAAATGGAAATCATAGTTGGCTATGAGCTTAAAAAAATGCCGGCGTTTAACCCTTTCCAACGATATAAAGTTATGTGTATTTTCTTCTAAGAATAAAGCCCCGTTCTCAGAACTGCGACTGTCGCCAGCGACACGACAAAAGAACCAATGAAATTTGTACAAAATTCAAACAGCTGTCAATTTTAAATTTAGTACAGCTCCCGTTGGTCGTTTGAAGTGTCAATCAGTGCCGCTGTCGACACGACGTAGTTCTGAGAACGGGGCTTAAGAGAAATATTAGGGTTTTTTTATCTTTGTATCGAAGCGGGCCCTGATTTTGTGTTGACCTAGTTGCCTAATTATTTTTTATCACAATTTAATATTCTATATTATTATTTATCTGCATAATTAAAGACTTTTGGGAAGGTAAATCAACATTCTATATTAGTATTACCATTTACAATTAAAACCCCAGGGTTACAACTGCACTATTAAATGGAGAATTTAGAGAGAATTGGATTGGAACAAGGGGTCCCATATCTTGACCTGCTAGGCCCTGTGATTTAACTCCTTTCGACTTTTTTATGGGGGAAATTAAAAGACCTTATATATGTATATGGGAAGAACCATTGGGACGAGAGAAGAATTACAGAAGGCTACTAGGCAAGCGTTTGGGCTTATTAGACCAGTTTGCCTAATAAATCGTTGTAACTCTGTGCGCAAAAGATGTTTATTGTGTATTCAACAAGGAGGTGCTCCGTTTGAACATCTTTGATGATTTTTTTAGAAAACTATATTCGTCACTCAAAAAATATTTTTTTTAGTTTTGTTCTTTGCTTATTGAATCTACATATTTCAATTGTAATTACTAATACACAAGGCTTATACTAATATAGAATGTTAAGTTACCTTTTCAAAAGTCTTTAATTATGAAGATAAATAATAATATAGAATAACAATAAACAAATAGATCAACACAAAATCAAGGCCCGCTCCGATATAAAAAATTAAAAAAACTAATATTTCTCTCATTCTTAGAAATAGATACCCATAACTTTATATCGTTGAAAAGGGTTGAATGCCAGCATTTTTTTAAGTTCATAGCCAACTATGATTTCTATTTAAAAAATTATGTTTCACATTATTTCTGATAAAAAGAGCAAGTATAGAAAAAAACTGACTACGCCACTGGATTGTGCTTAAAAAGTGACTTAAGAACGTATTTACAGAATTTTATTATTTTTAATTAAGTTATGGGCAATTTTCCAAATGGCGAAAAATTCAAAAAGACCCCTATCTCAGTTGGCGGTGAAAATATCAACAGCGGTTTACGCCATTAAACATGTCTCAGAAATCGAGCCTATGACATCTATGTCGGTTTTGCTCTGTCTAGTCAGGAAATAGGTTTTCTCTATTAAAACAGACCAATTTCGACCACCCTGTACAAAATTTTGTGGCGTAGCTCTTTATTTAAGCTAAAATTCATAAATATTTTCCAGGTCTGTATTAACGGCTCGGCTTGTGTCTCCTATTCCGGACCTTCGACGAGATTCAGTGTTAACTACAGGTGCGGAAGACGCGGAATTCTTATCTCTACCAGTGCCTCCAGATTTTGCAGATAGCAGAAGATCAAGCCGTATTCAACAATGGTAAGTTGCCTTGATCAAAATCCCATATCGTCGGTGAAATATGATAAACTGCTAACTCCATTATTTCTAATTTTAGAGGAGAGCAAAAAAACGGTACAAAAAAATATGTACACATGTAGGAAGTATTTTCATGCGTTAATATGATAAAGAGATAAGAATTTTATTTGCTGGGGATCAATAAAACTCAATATTTCGTGTTATATAATTTTTTCAGACACAATAGGGAGATAGCAGATATTCGTCTTGCAGAAATAAGAAATAAAAATATACTTCTGGAGATAGCAACCTTATTGTTTGAAATTTTGAAAATTGAATTGAATGTTACCCAAACAGATTTAGAAATAATGAATTAAATTTAAAAAATATGATATTTATAACCATATTATATTTAGAATATCGTCGGTCTAGAAGCAAAACATACAATATCAAAAACGAATAAATTTTTAATGCATTTTTAAAGAACTGAAGTAGCAGCATTTTGGACTTATGAATATGAAAAATACTACCGTATGATCGAAAAAAAAAATGACGTCCAGTTGATATTTCCATATAATTTTACATATAAAAGGACACCGATCTTCATTTCATAACCATCGTTGACACCTTTTTTTTTATCATATTGTACTTTACTCGCAAAATAGATAATGACAAATAAAAAAAAACATCTAGGTGAATAGCTGAATACACACGAACAGTTTGGTTTATTTAGCACTTTTAAGTGCGAGTCGGACTCGCGCACGAAGGGTTCCGTACCATTCATTATCTATACAACATTAGACACTATATTATTATATACTTTTTTTCCGATTTAGCTGAAATTTTGAATGCGCGTATAAGTAATTAAAAAAAATTAAGAAACACATTACTTTGTATTAAATCATTTTGTATTAATCAATAATAAATATGTAAAAAGTAAAAATAAATATGTAAAAATATTTAAAAATTGAAAAAAAAACGATTAAAAAAAAGTCGCCTTGACTAGGATTCGAACCTGCCTTACTAAGCATCGTAAAGTCCTAACGCTTTAACCACGCGGCCACCGAGGACTTGAAAGATTCTATGTAAAATTCTTAAGGTGCGTATTCATTATCCGAACGAACGAACGAACGAATGTTCGCTAGTAGTATAGACGGGGACCGTACGATGGAACCGCACGAGAAGACCGGAGGCATTTGTCGGACTCGAAACGGATGGTCGAGCGAACGAACGAACGAACGGCCGCATGCGTTCGGTCCCCGTCTAAATATACCGCACTTTCATTCGTTCGTTCGTTCGTTCGTTCGGATAATGAATACGCACCTTTAAAGGTCGTTTGCGTCCGATCTTCTCGTGCGGTCCCCGTCCATACCACTAGCGAACATTCGTTCGTTCGGATAATGAATACGCACCTTTACTTAAAAGATAGTGTTTAGTGAAAGTACTTTTTTATTTATAAACATTTATTTAATTCTGTTTTTAGTATTTGTTCTTATAGCGGCAACATAGATACATTATCTGTAAGAATTTCAACTGTCTAGCTATAACGGTTCATAAGATAGACCTCTGTGACAGACGGACGGACGGACAGCGAAGTCTTAGTAATAGGGTTCCCGTTTTTACCGTTTGGGTACGGAACCCTAAAAAACATCTAGGTTAATAGCTGAATAGACACGAACAGTTTTATCGGCCGATTTGACCGATTTATCGCCGAATTGCAGAAATTTTAAGGAAAAATCTGCTAGTTTATGTCATCAAGAAAATTTGAAATTTGGCAGATAAATTGCTGACAAATAATTTGGGACGATTTTCGCCTAATACACTAACACAGCGATTAAAATGGAACACAAATCTGTCGCGAATTATCGGAGGATATTTTGTAGAAAGTTAAAAGGTCTTTTCAAGTACTTTAAAAACGGTCATATTTATTTTCTTCGAAAAATGTGTTCTTTCGCCTTATTTTACGGTAAAAGGTTGCAATTTAATTTTCGAAAAATAAAAAATCACCTTTACAGAGTGATAACTCGGCTATTATTACACCTACGGTAATAAACAAACAACGAATCGATTCGTTATTCCAAAAGCTTTATTTTTGCTTTATATGAGTTTTGAGATAAAACGCCAGATTTTCGAGTTATTTAAAAAAAATGGCAGAAAAATATCAAGTTTTTAGATACTAACATTTTCAAACCTAAATAACTCGGAAAATATAAAATTTCTGAAAAAATGTTATAGAACATTTTTTTCTTACAATTCATCCCTATATTTATTTTTACAATTCAAATGGGTGATTTGTTTTTCACCGCCGCGAAGGGGTGGCACTCACCACCAAGGTAAAAGCTATGAAACTTTTGTTTCTTACATACAGGGTCCGGCAATAGTGCGTCGGGCATCTGTTTGTAGCTCCTAGAATAAAAAACTTGGGAATTTTGTTTAAATGTAAACCTAAAGTATGTACTAGGATGTATTTCAGGAAAATATTTTAACTTCTATAGGGTAGCTCAAAAAAGTGTGAGTGGATCGGGATGACTTTTTTTAAATGGAACACCCTGTATATTATTGGATTTTTGGCTTCCTTTCAGATCACTTTACATAATCCTAAGACATGAATAAATATATTTCGATAATTTCAGACATATTAATAAATAAATAAAAATTATATATTTTTCAGCTTTTCTTAAAAAAATTACTAATAATACAAGAACTGTCCTGAAATCAAAACTATATTAGATATTTACTTTAGATGGTCTGTACTTGCTTTGCTATAAATATGGAAATCGTAAATCATACAGGATGTTCAAAATTCTATGCCAAACTTTCTAAAATATAAAATAATTTTTCTTTGTTTTTTTTAAATGGAAATTATTTTTTCAATAGATGGAGAATTAAAAAATGAACATTTTTTGCATTTAGAGTATTTCAAAATTTTTAACGGTTTCGCAGATATTCCCGGTTTTGTATTTCATATGGCATTTCTACAGTAAATATTTATAAAAGCCACCCAATGATTTTTCTCTCGTTTTTTACCATTGAAAGCGCTATGCGCCATATTATGAAATAACACTGCGTGTATCCGGAAAACTATTACAAATTTTGAAATACTTTAAATACAAAAAATGTTCATTTTTTAATTCTCCATCAAATAAAAAAATAATATACCGAGTGTTCCATTTAAAAAAACCAAGAAAAATTATTTTAAATTTTGAAAGTTTGGCGTAAAATATTGAACATTTTGTATGATTTACGATTACCATATTTATAGCAAAGTAAGAACAGACCATCTAAAGTAAATATCTAATATAGCTTTGATTTCAGAACAGTTCTTGTATTTTTAATTTTTTTTAAGAAGGGTTGAAAAATATATATTTTAGATTTATTTTTCAATATCCTGAAACTATCGAAATAGATTTATTAATATCTTAGGATTATGTAAAATGATCTGAAAGGAAGCCAAAAATGCAATAATATACAGGGTGTTCCATTTTTAAAAAATCATCCAGATCCACTCACACTTTTTTGAGCCACCCTATAGAAGTTAAAATATTTTCCGGAAATACATCCTGACAAATACTTTAGGTCTGCACTTAAAACAAAATTCTCAAGTTTTTTATTCTAGGAGCTACAGATTACCGGACCCTGTATATCTCTATTCACTGTTAAAATTTCACGTCAATTGGTACGGGTGTCAAGAATTCGGAGTTAGTACACTATTTTTATCCTCACTTACTGGTCTAAAACCTACATGATATAATAACAATCTTTATTAGAATTTATTATTAATATTTTGCAAAAATTATAATTGTATTTATTGACTTATACTACGTTTTTCATTATTGCAAAACTTGAATCAAAGTAACTTATTTTTTTCGCCTCCTACCAAAACGGGACTTCAAGTTCCCCTCTAAATATTATGCATTGAAGTTACCCTTTAATTTATCAAAGTCATCCAACAGTTCCCTAATATATGTTTATCGAATTCCTTTGTTCGTATACCTAGAACGGCAACAACCCCAGTTGTCAGCTTGTCAAACCCGATGTCATCCGCATGATATCAAATATATGATACCTATGGAATAGTCGCGCGTACCAAAATTGGATTTTAGCAACAATAACTTATAAATGCCGTACAATTTAATCCTAAGCCACAGTATTTGGTAATTAAATTATCGATTGCTTTATATCGATACGCCTTGCTTGAATTATGTTATTGTTTGTTAATTATCGCGGATAATGTGATTTTAAGCAGAAAACCGTCAACTAGGTGATAAGATTGGAATGACTCAGCTCATATAAAAATTGCAAATTTGTCAATATCGAACACAGAAATTCTTAACGGCTTCAGACAAGGATGCACATTATTGCCACTTCCATATAATTTATACTCAGAATCGATATTCCAGGAGGTGTTGCAAGATTTCGAAGTGGGAACAAAGATGAATGGTAAACCTATGCATCCCATAATATACTGCCGATACGGTACTCAGTGGTGAAGCTATGGGGGGTGAGTTGGGAAATTAGTCATGACAACGCGACGTCTAAATCCCAAATTTGTGAAAAAAATCTCAAATTTGTACTAAATACAGAGATATAGATGTCTATATCTCTGACTAAATAGCGTTTTCGGTTTATGCGCTTAGGGTAGTCCTATTTCTTATTATTGTACGTCACTAAAAAGAGATAGAAATTCCTTTCATATGACACTCAAAGTAGGGCCACAGGCACACGCCACCCTTTTGTGTTCTTTTTATTAATTAAATTTTGATTGACAACAACGCGTTCTGCTGAACTGGAGTCTGGAGTTCCCCGTTTAATGTACAGGTTGCAGTTATATTTTATATCACGATACATTATTACATAAAATATGTCTATACCTAGTGGCGGATTCATCTCTCCAAAAAAATCCTTTATGGGTATTTCGCCACTGCACTGCAAGAAAAATCTACAAATTAAAATAGTTATTTTTTGTAAATACTTCTGGGCGTTAAACCTAAACGCACAAGGTTGACGTTCTGTTAGTTGACTTT